TTGTCGCCTAGCGGCTTCTTGTTTAGAGTTTGTTTAAGTATCTCACATAATGTAACCTCCAACTTACACCACACCACCTTCTCGCTCGCAGGTGGAAACCTGATTCTGGAACGCACTTCTTCAGAAATCATCAAAGGTGCTCCTCCGCAGTCGACGTCATGGGCCTCTCCGGGCGAGTGGGGTTCACCCTGCCCGTCGTACCATGACGACTCAGAAACTACCACAGGAGTGATAGTTTTGCGACGGCGTTTACTGCGTGGAGCACCCTCGCATTTCATTCTTCCGGCATGCGTTCTCAGACCATGCAACCCCGTGAAGCTTTTCCCACATGTACAGAGCCAGCCCGGAGTTTGGGCGAGTATCTCAGTCCGGGGGCTAGCAAGGTCGTCACCGAAGGTATCAGTTGGATTGGGCCCTTCATTCCCCCCCCCCTTTCGGAGGGCCCTGGGGGCATATTTCATTGTGGTCGTACGAAATCGGAGGTATTATACTGTGTTAGGGGTGATCAACCCGGTCCACAGTCGACATCTGTTTCCAGATGTCAGTTTATCCCCCCGGCGATACCGGGGATCCAGTCTTTCCATAGGTGTCAAAAGGTCTTTCCCGATAGTCACCAGTCTTTCCTGGTAGTCTTGTGCAAAACATTAGACTAGAAATTATCAACGAACAATGTTGCATTGTAAAGGGAAAGGGCAAAACAATACCTGATACATTCGTGGTAGACATACCAAGAACTATGGAACTAAAAATAGATGTGTATTTGTGTTTCGTTGACTACATCAAAGTGTTTTACTATGTGAAACACGGAAAATAATACAAACACCAGAGCAACAATTAAAGACAAAGATCTGCCATGGCAGCAAGCTGCGGTTAAAAGGATCAACAATAATTCGGGAGCTATTCAAGGGGCAAGAAAAAAAACGTCATTAGACAAAGGTGTGTACTGTGCTCTAATGTAGCGACGGAATTCACACACACAAACAAACACACGCACACACACTCACACATGCACACACTCACACAAACATTAGAATGGTAATAATATTATACTACTAGCTGTACCCGGCCACGCGTTGCTGTGGCCCAGAATGGTGAAATAGAGAGGAAAGAAAATAGCTCTCAGCTAACAGTGTCTGTCAATTCCCCCACTCACTCCCCTCTTCCCTCGACCCAGTCATATCTCTCTCTCTCCGAAGGATTGAAAAATTATTAAAATAGAAATAGTTAAGAAATGAGAAAATTAAAATAATACTTTAAGCTCTCTCGGCTAACTGTGTCTGGCATAACCCCTCCCCCCCCCCCCCCACTCCTTCACGTCATATCTCCCTCTCCGTAGGATTAAAAAATCATTACCTGGCGAAATTATTAAAATAGAAATAGTTAATAAATGAGAACAGTAAAATAATATTTTAAGCTCTCTCAGCTAACGGTGTCTGGCATAACCCCCCCCCCCCAGCTCCTCTAGTCATATCTCCCTCTTCGAACGATTTAAAAGTCATAACCAGGTGAAGATAATATCTCACTCTCCGAAGGATTGAAAAATCGTCCATGGCGAAACTATTAAAATAGAAATAGTTAATAAATGAGAATTTTAAAATCATATTTTAAGCTCTCTCAGCTAACTGTGTGTGGCATAACCCCCCCCCCCCCCCTCCCGGTCATTCCACGAATCATATCTCCCTCTCCGAGGGATTGAAAAAATCATCACCTGGCGAAATTATTAAAATAGAATAGTTAAGAAATGAGAACTTTAAAATATTAGTTTAAGCTCTCTCAGCTAACTGTGTCTGGCATAACCCCCTCGCTCCCCCTCCACCAATCATATCTCTTCCCCCCCCCCCTCCACTAATCATATCTCCCTCTCCGAAAGATTGAAAAATCATCACCTGGCGAAGTCATATCTCCCTCTCCCAAGGACTGAAAAATCATCCATGGCGAAATTATCAAAATAGAAATAGTTGAGAAATGAGAACTTTAAAATAATATTTTAAGCTGTCTCAGTTAACCGTGTCTGGCATAACCCCCTCCCCCTTATCATATCTCCCTCTCCGAAGGATTGAAAAATCATCATCTGGTGAAATTATTAAAATAGATATAGTTAGGAAATGAGAACTTTAAAATAATATTGTAAGCTCTCTCGGCTAACTGTTTCTGGCATAACCCACCCCCCCCCCCCCTTTTTCCCCCAATCATATCATCTTCTCCGAATGATGGAAAAGTCATCGTGTAACGAAATATTGTAACTAAGTAGAGCAGACTTAAATAGGTAGCATTAACTTGTACAGAGAAGTAAATGTAGCCAGTGTAACAGCTATCACATCACCCATCCAGTACTAGTACTACTGCAACCACAACCACTACCACCGTCACAACAACGACAACAAAAACTGTCACTACAGTCTGCGTAGGTCGGCGTAGAAGAAAGGAGTTAGCGCCGCATGCTGTCGCCACGAACTATTTAGTTTGATTTTGCCCCGGACATAGGAAAAATAAACTTTCTCACGTAACCAGTGAAGGAATCCACAGTGAAAAGCACACTATACTTAAAGAAAAATACCCCCCACACCCATCATCTCTCCTTCTCCGAGGGACGATTTTTAACTGACCTTGGCATCCGTGTCCACCCAAACTAAATTGGACTGTAGGCCGTCTTAGTTAACAGTTTCTGTCATCGACGAATAGTTTTTGATCGAGAAGCGTCGCGGGGAGGCTAATTAGGACTTAACTTAATTCGGATGTCTTTGGGCGAAAAGCTCAGATATCACAGCTTAGCTGTAAACCACAACACAACGTGGCAACCACCCTTTTAAGGGAAAAAGAACAATTATCACCCAGCGGGGAATCTAACACCGATCACCCGCGAGAAGGATGACATACTTACAACTATACTACCGACGACTGAAGAGTTTAGGTCAAATATCGCAGCCTAGCTGTAAGCCACAACACAACGTGCCAACGGCCCTCTCGAGGGCGAACAAAGATTACCCGTGACATGACCATTAAGCATCACGTCGCCGCTGTCGCAGGCTAGCTGTAAACCCCAAAACCGAAAAAGGCGTAGAAATCGCAGCCTAGCCATAAACCACAACACAACGTGCCAGCCCCCCATTTAAGAGCTCAAAAAAAATGTATACCACCTAGCAGGGAATCGAACTCAGGTCACCCGCATGATAGGCAGAATAGCTACCAACTACGCTACCAAACACTCGAGAAAATAGTGGAAATGAAATTGTATAATAATGCAAAATTCAATAAGATCTCAGCAGTCAAATATGGCCAATAAACTAAAAACAAATACGGGCCGGCTACGAAACAAATATTGATTTTACCGTTGCTGGAGCTACGTCTTTCGTGGTTGTGCGATTTTCTGACAAAAAAATCACGCTTGGAGTCAAAGGCAACGTTGTGTGCAAATGTGAAAGCAATCGGTTCAGTAGTTTCCCAGTTTTTAGCCAACAATATCGGAAAATTAACATTTTTATTAATATAGATATGACTTAAAGATCCATTTTCACGCCTTACAGGCATCGGGAATGAGGGAAGAGCACCCATATTTTAACAGACCAATCGGCACTAGGTAGGTAATGTGGTCACATAACACCTTCGTCTTTACTTTCCCAGGACATACTTTCTGGTACCCATTTTAGGTTGGGTCGGCCTGCAACGCCACATAACATGATAAAAATCCACGATCGCGGTATGTTGGGATTACGAATTGGGCTCGCAACGCCTAAGCCACGGATGCCACTGTTCCATATGAATAATAAATATAATATACATGTGGACAAACATAACAAATAGAAGTAAGAACTGGAAAGGTTAATTGCGTATCCTTTACAGGACGTTGCAGAATCAGCTCTAACAATCCCTGGCTGTTTTGTGGTTTTCTAGGCAAATTTACGTCCAGTAGTTTGCCAGTGCTTTCTGTCCGGTCGGCTTTCTTGATACAACTGTCGAAACCAACGCAAGGCGCATGGATCACAGCTGGAATCGAACCCGGCATCTCAGCATTACGAAGCGTTCTCTTCGACTTAGCCACAGAGCTGATAGAACTGCAAAACAGTACTCAGAGACTTGCTATACTTGGTTTTTGTTACTGACTAACCCTCTTACAAGTTTTCTAGTGGCGATGTAGGCCCTTATTTAGTTCTGGTTTTTCTGCTCTGATGTGTTTTTTCAGTAAACAATGATCCAGAAATAAAATATGTAGACAATAAGTCAATTTTCCATACGGGTGGTGAAACTATAAATAACAATTTCTTACCTTGGCTGTTCACAAATATTTGGTAGGAACAAAAGGGAATAAATAAAATTATAGACACAATGGTTGAGAAACTGAATCAGTGTATCAAAGTGTGAATTATTTAACGTTAGATGTAATAATAATATAAACGAAATGGACGATGCTTAGTTAATTAAAAGAACATTGTCCACGTCTTCAGGCATATTGGTCATATATATTTTTAGCCATCGTTTATTTTATTTTATTTCATTTATTCCACATCACATTTTTTTTGAAACGTTGCTCACGTAACCCCTTAGAGATCTACATACTCTCCTCTCCTCGTTGTTACGTTTGTGTAGTATGTTTGAAATAGGTTGCCCGGCCGAAACGTTACGTTGTGTTGTTTTGTGCACGTTTTTCTGCTTCCCCATTTCCTTGAGCTTTTTAGTCCAATTTCTCTGGAATTCCTGGTCATATATGGCTAGACCTATATTTTATGGACTAATCGATCCGTAGGCGAGTGTCTAGTAGCTATACCGCAGTGGCTCCCGTTAGCTAGGTACTGAATTGCAAATTTCATTGGAAAATATTTCTTAATGACAGTTCAAAAATTGCCAATACATTCCACTTTTCTTCAACGTAATATCCTATCACTGGCAACCATGAACCTCTTTTTAACAACACCGAAACGACGGTAAACGCAATCGTTTGGGCGTGAAACAAGATTTTTTTTTTTTTTTTCCGTCATCAAAAGTTCAGTTTATTGAATTAGAATTTAAAATATTTTCTCAGCAGGGCCCATGGTGCTCTTGATGTAGAGAGCCCTGACGTTCTGCCAGTTCTTCTTCAACAGAGAAACCAAAAAGTTGATAGCCAGGGTGATGTTCTGGTACAGCTCCTCGGAGGTCATGTTGACATGTCCGACACAGACAGCCAGACACAGCACCTTCTTCATCTGGAACTTGATAGTCGCCTTGGTCTCCTCCACTTTGGCATTCAGCACATCAGTGTGGGTAATGGGTGCAGGGAATTTTCCAGCCTTGTTGAGACCCGGTCCCAAAACTCTTGGGATCTGACGGATCAAGGACTCGGAGGCCAGGAAAGCATCGTACCTCTTGGCAAGCTTTTTCACCAGCTTCTTGTCCTTGTTGAGTTTCTTCAGGGCCTCAATGTCCATGTGGGGTAGGTCGTTAGCCTTAGCCTGGTCACAGTGCACCTGATCACCCAGAACACATACCTTCATCTTGGGCTTGGGGATGTGCTTCAGCTTGATGGTTCCGGCGAAACGCTTGTCCTTTTGGGGATCATAGTTCTTCAAGGCAATCTGCAGCTCCACAGATTCTGTGAACTTGCGCTTCTTCGTCTCAGTGGAATACTTCAAAATATTGTCAATGGACTCTCGCAGCGAGTCTCGGTTGATCTTACTCATCCTCGTAGGTGTGTAGCGGCCTCCAGAACGATGCAATAGGGTTCTATAGATGAGAAGTGAAGAGGCATTGCAGTTAAGCCTTCTGGGTATAACATTTGACTGATTGGTCAGGCCTCAAACATGTAAACGTCAATTTTACTGTATCTACGCCTCGGAACAGGACTGACTGACTGACTGACTTTCTACCCCACAAGGACATCATACAAGCCACAAACACCCGATGACACAATGCGCCAAAATGTGGGTGAGGATTACCCGTAGAGAGGCTCCAGAAACCGCGTTCAGCCTCTAGGCCAAATTTATGGCCGGGCCATATTACGGCCCTTGGCAAGAGTCGGAGCAGGGGGTTTCAAATAACGAAAAATTTTATCCTAAAAAGGACGGGAAGTGAACATGAGAACAGGATTTAACAATCTGCTGCTCCGAATTGTACAAGCTCTCCCACAAGGCACTAACCACGTCTGCCCTATCATGGAGCAGTATTCCACCAAGTTGTGCAGAGCCAGCCAGTCTGTCAGCCTGTTCATTTCCCAACACACCGGCATGACCCGGTGAAGAAATCGAGACAATACTCCTCACTCGTGTCCTCCGAAGCGAAGCATGCCACGCTGCGCGAAGCATACCTGTTCTAATCTTCCTCATCATGCTTTCTGAATCAGTTACAATCACAATGTGTGTGTGTGTGTCGTGTTCTCTAGCCAGCGGAAAGCTGCAGTGACCACCTCCACCTCCATTCTTTCGCTGGGTGTTATGGTATCATATGCTAGGCTCTCCTGCACCAAACGTCGACCATTAATTTTGCTTAGAAGCCCCAAGCACTTCTTTTGCCTCTTGACACTAAACCGTCTGTGTAAATTATCAAATCCTCTGAGCGAGCATTATCTTCAATTATTTGCTGAATTTCCACCTCTGTGGCACCTGCTGGCCAGTCTCTGCATTCCCGGCTCAGCGCGATTATGACTCTACACAAGTCTGACTGCTCGGGTGGCACTTTGACCCACTTCTCTCCTCGCCTAATGTTCTCAAGGATGCAAACCTGTCTGATTGTGTCTTCTGCCTGAGCCATCCATGGCCTCCCTCTTATCAGCCGCTTACCTATGTACATTGAGAAGTTGTACAAACACTTAGCCATAAAAAGTAGTAAATTACATCGGTCAATCCATACAGTGTTTTCTCACTTTGACAAAACCTGTCGTTTTAATCTTCTATCCTTCCGTTGTCAGCCAGACATTCTAACCTCATACCATGACCAAAAACCTGGGAAGTAAAGGTTTCCGTCGTAATGTTGACCACATAACATTTCGGTTGTGATTGGTTTGTAAAAAAATATATTTACACGAGCTATATGTCCGATGTGCAATAGGTGCGACAAACGTCCTTCAATCCTTACTATGATGACCAGAAATAACCAGTTTTGCCCTGATGCATGTGATTAAATGTCTTTGTACAATGAAATTTTTTTTTAAGCCGTTGGCAGAATTCTTAACATTCCACATGGGGTTTTACTGGGGCAATCTTCTTCTTCTTCGCGTTCACCAGCTGTACACTCTGGCGGAAAGTTCTGGTTGCTCGTCCACTACTGAACTGCAGTCCTGCTCCAGAACCTGAGTGTTGCGTGTGCATCAGTTTTACATATCTCATTCTTTTGAATACAGACTGTTGGTTCCATGCCTCTCCGGCAGATGCACTCCGACTTCAAAGGAAGCTCACCAATTAGTCGACTCTTACTTTTGGGGAGGCAGTGGGTCTATTCTTGTTTTCCCCACAATGGGGCCCCGGAACCAACACGGGGGGACTGGAGCAATGAAGCGCAATACAAGACTCACCCTTATTGCTAAAGCCTTACTGACCCAGTTGACTCTTTTGCTCCTCAGTAATCCGTGGAAAGGTTGTGGATTTTGCCCCCTGCGTGAAGTTGAATGGGACAACAAACCAGGTAAGCTCGAATTCATACTCACAATCACTGCTCAAAGAAAACAATACTGAGAAACAAAATTGAGTCAATAGATACCAAAAGAGCCCTCTGCGGTACTTTTTTCTTGCCAAAACTGTGCTATCAATGTCAGACCTGAAAAATGACCCAGAGAGAGAGAGAGAGAGAGAGAGAGAGAGAGAGAGAGAGAGAGAGAGAGAGAGAGAGAGAGAGAGAGAGAGAAGGACAGACATAAAAGAACAAAATTAGGACAAATGAAATGCTACTTTTGCGAAGGACATTTAATATAACAGAAAGAAAGAAGATCAGAAAAGATGAAATCCGAAGGAAATGGGGAAAGTGGAGTTATGGATTTCATTTCAAAAAAAACGAGTGAAATGTTTTGGCCATATAAAGCGATTGTCAACTAACAGTATACTACGTAATGCAATGGTGTACCGACCAGGTGAGAAGCGAAGAAGAGGTCGACCATGCAAACTATGGACCGAAGGAACAACAGTCAAAGAGAATACCCCTTTACGAAGCGCACACAAGGAAACTTTCCCGCAAATTATACTTCACCTCGACACCGCAAGATACAAGAGGATCAAGACGAGGGAGAGAAAGACAGAGACAGAGACTCATATGGGACAAGAGTGAACCCACTCTCGCTCTGATGAGATCCGGGAGGCATGTTGGGCCAGACCGCAGATCAAAAACATGACTATTACGCAACCTTTGCTATTATGAGTGAATACAGTATTAAATCTAAGCTTTAAAAAACATTTGATTTTATCATTAGAACAGATTTATTGGCTTTAAAAGCAGGGAGCAATCACAAGAAGAAGAAGAAGAAGAAGAGAAGAAGAAGAAGAAGAAGAAGAAGAAGAAGAAGAAGAAGAAGAAGAAGAAGAAGAAGAAGAAGAAGAAGAAGAAGAAGAAGAAGAAGAAGAAGAAGAAGAAGAAGAAGAAGAAGAAGAAGGGAGAAGGGGATTACGGTATAATGTTCTGACCTCTGTAGGACACACACAAAAAGATACAAGGGATGGGATTAAAACGCAGTATTGCGTCTATCTGTTGTCTCTCTGCCTGCCTGCTTGTCTTGTCTGTATACCTCCCTATGACGGGAATGTATTGCATAGGGCATTCCTTATTTTATAAAATGCAGTTTTTGACAGCCCTATTTTCCTCTTTATCTCGGTAACACATCTTCCATCTGTTGCCATCCAATATGCTCAGATACTTCCTAATCTATGCATTTCATTTTCTTCAGAAACAGTAACTGATGCATAAACAAGCCTGCAGTTTGGTTCAGCTGGTTGCAAATGGGAAAACCCGGCAATTCTCGGAGCTTCTTTGTGACGATAAACTTATAGAAATGCATTCCCAACATTTGGTCGCGCTCAACACTCAGGGGAACGGCGAGATGGATGGGTGTACAATCAGACAGTTACGGATGCCATCTGAATCGGAGCTCTTCGCTTGCTGCTGAAGATAGGGACGAAGCGCTTATGGCGGTGTCCCGAGTGTTGTGACGTCGATTCTTAATTCAGCTATCAACATTCTCAGCAATAATAATGTCAGTAATAAATGTTATTATTATAATTCAACATGTTAACAAGCCTGAACCAAATTCTTTTATTTTATTTCACACTATCTCGAGGACTGAGATTTTAAAGGTAGTTCCCGGGAAAGTCCAATACTATGGGGGGTTAGGGTTAGTGTTAGTTTGTGTTTCACACCCGAACATCCCTATACTACTGACATTTTCCCACCAAATATCGGGGTCCCCGAGATTGGGTGAAATAACAGAAAAGAACCTGACGCTCCCCTCCGCCCGAATGTTTTAACTCCATGGTGACGCGCCTGACCTGTGTGCCCATAACAGTCTGGGTATAACTTTGATATCTTAGCAAAAGTTATCGTATCTGATTGAAAAGACGTTCTCTTGTCTTGAACACTTCTGCTTATTTTATATGTGTCTGTGTGTATGTGTATGTTTGTCTGCCTGCCCTCGCGTGTGTATCCATATCAGTTTCACAAGGTACAGACCTATCTCGAGTTACTACCCACTCTTTTTACTGCAGACGTCACACCTCTCATCTCAGACCCTAAACATAAGCCCGGATACCTTACTGCTAAGTCACCCTTGCACCGGAAATTCTATCTGTAAACGCCCAGTGCAACAAGTCGTTGACTGTTTTCTCCTGCAAGCCCATTTCGTTCTTTCATTGCCACAGTACAGTAACAACTACAAATTAAAATACAGTTTACAGGAATACATTTCAGGTGTGTTTGATTATCCCTTTGAAATGAGCGAAACTATCTTTTATAACTATCAAAACATGTTTTTAACGAGCACGAGAAGATGACAAAAGTCGAGACAGCGAGCGAGCGAGAGAGAGAGAGAGATTTATACCAGTGTTGCCACTTTTCTTTGACAAAAAACATCCAAAATGGAGTCAAAAATATCTGAAAACATCTACATTTACGTGAAAACATCTAGAAATAACATCCAAATGGAAAGATTTACAAATTACATCCTAATTGATATGACTTACCCTAAAGAATCATGTCCTCATCTTTACTGAAGTCTGCCTTACAAGATCCACTGGATAAACTTAGCTTGGGTGATGAAGTTGAATCTTCAGATCCAAAATGACTGTGGTATAGTTTAGCTGTTCCAATTTCTTTAAATACTTAATCAGGGAGCTGATAAGTGGAACAGCCTTTTCTTACTCTTATAAGGCCGAATTTTATTGTCAAGACAGCATTCAAGGGGTCAAATTTCATCATGTTTTTTAGGTTAGATTTGATAAATTCACTCCAGATGAAAACGTCCAGAAAAACATCTACCATCTAAACGTCAAAAACGCCATCTAAATGCAAGGGAAAACATCTAATTCTGGATGTAAAACTTTTAAAGTGGCAACACTGATTTACACATGTGTGCGGCTGGGGCTTGCCATATGCATGAATGTTTGCCTGTGTATGTGTGTTGGAGGTGGGCGCTTCAACTCAAGGGAGAGAACGCGCTAATTTAACACAAAGACAGACGGAGCCTGCTGTTAGGTAGCTCAGCAAGCTAA